GAGGGAGGGTTTGCGGATGATAGTAGAAAGCATTTGGAGGAGTTCAGTGCTGGTACAAGAGTTTGCAAGGCCATTGATGAGTTCATGGAAATGTAAATGAAGATAGATGACCAACTTGTGCTAATCAAAGGCTCAAATGGACCCTATTTATGGAAAGCATTCGATCATATTCTGACTGGTAAATAACGTGCTCCATATTCTCTAATATTTCAGGAGGTATCTGCTCAGACGCCTCATTTGATACTATGGAGTGAATGGTTCATAACAACTAATGGAACAGAAGGAAACCCTGGAGCTCAAACATTGCAAAATTGGTTTAAATTTGAGAGGGTATTTGGAACTACAAATGTATACTATTTTGTTCATTGTCCAAAAGTTTGCGACACTTGTGTAACTTTGTGCAGCGAGATTGGCGTTTTTACCACTTCAAGAGGTTTGGCTCTCAAGCCTGATAGAGAATTTTTAGTTTTTCGGATCATCCAAGCTCGACCAGTAATCAAATAAAATAGTTTGGTTGATTTTCCTGAGACTGTATGATTGTAATTGAATAAGGGTGTAGAAGGTAGTTAATATTGTTGTAAAACTCCGTTTAAAATTAACTTAAATAACAGCTGCATGTTTAAGTTCTTCGTATTATCTAATTTAATATGGTTGAAATTATCAATTAATTAACACATGTAATTGTAACTATTTTATTGACCGCAGAGAGAAACCCCACATTGTCATCCGTCGCAATCTTGTTGCAATGTTAATGTCATTTAGAGCACTCTCCCAAATAATTTTTTCTTTAATATCTTTTATTTTTTTCCTTGTTAATTTCTGAATGATAGAAGTTATTGTAACTTGTTTAAAATTAAAACTTGATATCACTCTGAAAAGCCAAAATTTCATTTTTTTTCTTCTAATGGAATCTATATAATTTTATAGAAAAATATAAGCAGCCTATTTTTTATGAGGTTTGGTCTTATTACAAGTAGGATATTCCATAATTATAAAGCCTAGGCCATGCATACAAAAGCAAAAACCTCTTCAACACACACACACATACATATATATAATTTTGAAAAATCGTCATAATTAAACTTATTCTTCACTTGATAGAATTTAAGGTGAGTCTGACTCCTCACCTAATAAAGTCTTGTTGAATAAAAAGATTATCTCTTCCTATAAACCAATAGGCTTGAATATACTTTATCCGTGTATAATCAAACATCATATTAAGATGGGAATGTATTAAAGCATATTTTAATATTTTGTTGGACCATATTAAGTACTATATATGACATAATGACAAGAAATATCTCGAATTTTGAGATGAAAATATTTAACCTCACAATTTATCTTTGACAAAGTGCTTTTAAAAAAAAAAAAAAAAAAAAATTCAGATTTGAACTCTTGTTGTTAATTAACAAAATAGAGATAATTTTTGCATGTGAATTTTTTTTTGTATTATCTCTTTCAAAATAATTAAATCTTACGAACGATTCAGCTGAATCTTTTCCAACCTCTCGTGTCTGAACAGCTTTGCCACCAGCTATGACGCCGGCAAATTGCATAGATAATTAGTTTACCGTTAGCCGGCTAGTTTTCTGTTAGAAGTTAGTTAGTGTGCATTTGTTTTTAGTATTTTAGACAGTATTTTTGAAAAAGTAAGAGTTTGGTAGTAATCACGAGGTATGATTTAAAAATTAACAAAAACACTCCCTTGGGTTTGTTAATTTACTAAACACCCCTATAATAAAAATATTAAAAATTATAAAAACACTCCCACCCACCCATTAAATACTGACAGCCGGCAACCACCGCCAATGGATGGCCGGAGTCATCGTATTGGAGCACAACAAACTGGATCTGACCGGTCGTGCGCCGAGATGGCCTTTTCTAGCCAAATCCATTGTGAATCTGACCGAAAAATGTTAGATCTACAGTAGATGTGGCCATTGACGGTCAGATCTGGATGCGTTTGACAATGTTCTGAAAACCGAACCGGACCGCCTGGTTGGAACGGTTCGACCGGCAACCGGCGGCAAATCCGATCCGGTATATATAAAAAACCGCTATTTTGATTTAAACCGGATTGGACCGCGGTTGGACCATCGGAATAGTGCCCAATCGCGGTCCAATCGCAACCAAACCCCACTGGATTCCGGCATCTTTCGACGGAGAAAACACCCCCATTCGACGGACGGCATCCCCATGACCAAACCCATCCATTTTCAGTCGCCGTCGTCCAGCCTTCGTCGATCGCCGTCCACCTAAAGTTTATGCGACGTCGAATTTCTTTGTTGATTCTGACGAGTTCTGACGCCGATGGAACTCCCTAGCACCACGATCAGAGTCGCCGACACCTACACATCAAAAGCCCCAAGATTCCAGCTTCGATTGGCCGTCGATCGTCACTGCCGCCACCACTCACCAGAATCTTCACGCGACAGGGGTGTTTTAGATAGATTTCGAACCTTAAGGGAGTATTATAGGGGTGTTTTTGATGAATTTCAAACCTTTAGAGACTAAAAATAATTTTACAAATTACGGTCCAACCGACCGATCCAAACGGTCAAACCAGAAACATGATCCTTGAACAAGTCATTGTCCGGTCTGGTTTTCAGAACATTGGCGTTTGGTTGTCAACGACCGCCAAAGATCTAGCCTTTTCCGGCTATATTCACGGTGGATCTGGATGGAAAATGCTATATCGACGCACTACCGCTACTAGCCAGATCCAGCCGGTAGTACGCCATTACACCAGATTCCGGCCACCTTCCAATAGTGATGGCCAGAATCTAGCAAATGTGGGTGGGTATGGGTGTTTTTATCAATTTCTAAACTTTTTTTGGGTGTTTAGTTAAAGTAACAAACTTAAAGGGTTTAAAAATAATTAAATATAATATAATAGTATTTTCATAATAGGATAAATAATATGTATTTTGGAAATGAAGGAATAAGATAGGGCAAAAGTAGGGAAACAAACTTATATTTTGTTATTCTTTCCGGCCTGAGTTCCAAATACAGATTTACAAGTAACGTATCAGCTACATTTTCTAGGATTTTCTTCTCGTTGTCTTGGTATCAGAGTGAAAGAGAAACAAATTTGAGAGACAGAAATCTAAGATGAACAAGCTATCTTTCTCATAAAATTAAAACACACTCTTCAGGCTACTTCACAACTTCATCGTCTAAGAAGGCTTGACATTCAGTAGCTCTTAGCTCAACACAGCAACATATTAGTCAATCAAACTAAATTTCTCCACCGGATCATTCATAAATCAGGAGACTTCGGAGTGTACATGGATAGTCTCGCAATCGTGAAGAAAAAATTTCAAATAATAATAATTAGAATATTTTATAGATTGTATGTTCCCTATATAAAGCCTGTAACTCTCTTACTAAATGAATCAATGAATTGAAAATATACGATTCTTCAATTAAACATAATTCTCTCTGCTTTCTTCTACAAGTTCATTTTCCATAATACTTTGTCACTTAATCTCATGTCTATTATTTATGACAATATGAATTTTGCCTGGTGAGCTCCAGTTAAATTGTCCACGCTAATAAAAAAATATTATATATATAATTATTTTACTTTTTCAGAGGAATAACCTTATTTTATATATATATAATTATGTAAATGCTAAACTAGTGATAAACTTGAACAGAGTGTCTTTTGTACAATAGACTAAAGATATACAAAATACTATGCTTACAAATAAATCTTACAAATATTTTCATACAAAGTGAGGTAGCAAAATATGAATGGAAGAGTGAAACAAAAAGTCAAACTCATTAAATTCACTCTTTCATTCATTTTCTGTCACATCACTTTGTATGGAGGTCTTTGTAAAATTTATTTATAAGTATAGTATTACTCAAAGATATAAGTAATATAATATACTAATATAGTATAACATTTTTAAATTAATAACATTAGGATTTGATAAATTCTATTAATTAAAAGAGGTATTAATTAATCGATAAATTAATAATTTATTAATTTATAGAACATACATTTAATTAACTAAAAATTCATTATATTTTACCAATCTAATCAATTGAATATAAATTAATCCACTAAAGATACATTAAAGCATTAATTTAAATTCATTGTACTTATGTACTTAATTAAATAATGTTCATTGTATATAATAAATTCATTGCACTTATTTACTTAATCAAATAATATTCATTGTATATAATTGCATTAATTTAATTAAATGTATTCAACAAAAAAATCTGTGTATAATTTAATTGAATTAAATGTATTCATTGTACTTGATATTTTTAATTGTATTAAATGTATTCAACTAATTAGATTAAAAATAATCTTTATACTTTATAAACAAATACAATGTCTTACTATATTTCATAATTATAATGGCTTCCCATCTAAAATTGCTAAAAAATCAATCATGACAGATTTAATAAAATATCATAGTCAATTAGCAAATTATTTAGTTATGATATGAATGAGATTATAGAGTTATGTAAGATTTTCAAGAAAAGTATTATTTTATTAATTTATTGCAATTATCAATTTAACCCACTAGCTCAAATCGGAACCGTAAGAAATTATTATATAATAGATGTTATTAATTTATCGAGTATTAATTTATAGAGGTTATATTGTATAGTGTTAAAGAATATACCCCCCCTGGGGTAATATAAAATAACAAAAATACCCCTTTCGTTAATATACTATTAGTTGATCATTAAATTTTCCTTGTTAAAAGTTCATAAATATTACCAAGTTGCCTCTCTACCCTTTTTTTTAACACCCAAACCTTAAAGGCGGGGTACTTTTATTATTTCTGAAACCTCAAAGAATTATTTGTTACTTTAACAAACTTTTATGAAATAGTTGTGCAAATATTATGATATAAGAGATCAATGTATCTGAAATTTAAACATTCAAAACATAACTCTACTTCAAATAGTTCTTCTTCCAAACAACAACAAACACTCAAATATTGAACTAATACATTATTATGAATAACTCTTAATTAAATAGGAATTGGGTGAATGATAAGCTTGGTGATGTAATCTTTCAAAGCCTCTGGGCATGTAACTCCATCTTTTTCTTTGTAGAGAATTTCTATTACGCGCGCACTATTGATAAGTGTAATTAGGACTTTTGATGACGCAGCTGTTGGCTTCATGCACTCCTCATTCAGATCCTTCCATCCATCACTCTTAATTCTCTTAAACTTTTCAACTGTTTCCTCTTTCGAGATGTCATATTCCTTCATGCAACATTCCACGGTAGAGGCAACATGTCCCCTCTTTTGCTCATCCTTCAAATATCAATTTATAATTAATTAGATACATACAAATTCAACACATTTATAGGGTCGGAATTGAGTCTAGTTTTTATATATTACTTCTTTAAGCAAGTTCTACTGTATTACACGAATTGATATTGCTACAAACAAATTAAAGATTGATATATATATATAAAATACCTCGTGAGATACAATATCACACTGGAGACGGCCGATTATATATGCAGCTCTAACAATTTTAGGGTCGCTCTTCAGCCATTCAAATTCTTTATTCCCTGCAGCTCCCATTCCAACAAAATAAGTTGCTGCATAGAAGGAAATACTACCAGCTGGGGCTAACTCACTGTTCAAACGTTCCTCAAATGGCGGGACAAAGCCTTTACGGAACCATTCAGCCTCAAGAAGGGAGACTTTCAGCAGGTCCTTTATCTGAATATTATAAACGAAGTATATAAATAAATAACAAACATATACACCTGAGATGGAATACTCATTAAGAGTAAACTTCTCTACGCAGATTTTATCTCTGATTTTTCATCCAAAATGATTTCTATTTATGTTACAATGTTTTCATAAAAATAATGTCATGATGTGGTATATACCTAACAAGGCGGTATTATTGCTGTTAATTTGTAATAAAAAAATTTCCATGCTACAGAGTTTGCACAAATAATTCCTCAATGCCTTACATATGGAAGAAGTTGATTACAAAAATAAATATTTTTAAACTCTTACGTTAAATTAAAGAAGAAAAGCCGTAGTAGTTTAGGAACTCTTCTGTTATATGCACTTTTTGGATCTTCAGAAAGAAAATATATTCATATATATGTGAGAAATTTATAATAAATAAATAATTAATAGCGAAGCAGACGTACTGTATCCTTCATGCAAGAAACACAATAAGATCTTCCTTCCTTGCTCTCCTCATCTTCCAGTTCATCATAAAAATTCAAGAGCGTGGTATAAAGAAGTTTCATATAATCTGGCAAAGTACCAACAGCATTAATATCCCACCTGAAAAGTAATTGAACACGTTAATTACACATCAGATACAAGCACAACTGGAAATCTAGCTCTCGACAAATTTTATACGATATTTTTCTTCATCTCTCTCTTTTGTTTTGATTTGTTTGTTTGTTTGCTTGTATTTAAGGAAACATATAAAAAAATGTTCGATCTATATATATTTGAATAAAAATTTTAATCGCAGAAGCATAAGACGATTGCATGCTGAATGTGATATCCTAAAATTTTCCTTTGTGTATATTGGAGTAGAGCTTTTATAAAAAGTTTGTTAGTTGTTTGGTTAGGAAAATATAAAAGAGCTTTCTAAAATTAATTTATTAAAAAAAGTTTTAATATAATAGATCCAAAGTTATTTTTGAAATTTCAACATTTTTAATGAGGGCAAAAAGAGTTTTTGCTTGAGCTTCTCTTAGAAGTCACAAAATAGTGTTTTTTATAACTGTATTAGCACTTTTAAAATGCAACAAAACAACCTAAAAAAATTCTAAAATACTTATAAGATTAAAAAAAAAAAATTATTTTGTCCAGTAAAGAAATCCAACCAAATAGGCTCCTAGGCCCTAGCATGGGTGAAGCAAACAAATTCCAGAGTATATTTTATTGGTTAATATTTTTTTCTCAGTATCTCCTTTTTTACATGTGTAGCCTAGGCATGGTAATATTCCCTAGGATTTCGGGACCATCTTGCCCCGCCCCATATAGCCTTGGTTTTTTTTGGGGATAGGGCAGGGGTGAGTGATGCCTTTCCTCAACCTTGCTTCGTCCTATATATAATATATAAATTTAAAAATTATATATATTTACTTTTTATTAATACCTTTATATTTTATCTAATTACACAATTATCCTACCTATATAAACTCATATTTTCTCAATTCTCTCACCCTAAATAATTGAACAAAAACAAACACTGACCCATATTTATGTATATATAATTAATTATGTTTAAACGATTAATTTAAGTATTTATCATGTGGACGAGAATTAACTATCGTGTTTAGTAATACTCAAATTAATTTATGTTTATATAAAATTAACGAGATAAGGACGGGCCTCTAACATTCTCCTTTGGGGCATAGAAGGAGGATAGGCGGGGGTGGAAAGTGATTTTGAGGGCGAAGATGGATATAATGAATGAGATCCCGTCCCGTCCCGCCCCATTGCCATGCCTAGTGTAAACAGTCAAATTTAATAGAAAATCGGTGGAAGATAAATATTATATAATAAGATAATATTCACCGTCCACCGACCAGAAATTTTATTAAGGTTCATATATATATATATATAATCCACCTAATTTTCTACTACATTAAATGAGAACCCATACCTTTCCCATCACATGGATGATGGCATCAACTTAATAGAATGATCACCTTCTAGGTCACTCCTTTGACAAGTATTAATTCAGTTTTAAACCTACTATTTCAAGATGCTTTCGAGATAGCTCCTTTATCTTTTTCACTCCAGAACGGAACATTGATTTGATCCATACATGATTCCGGCCACAACCAAACCAAACCAAACTCTCAGTATTTTCACTCTCGAAAAGCCAAATGAGAAGTTGTATATTATATAGCATTCCTTTTAATAATACGACATGGGCTAGTGGTTTGATCAATATGGTACTTCAATGTAATGTTTTGCAATATTTGGGAGCTTTTAAGATTATGAAATATATTGTATATGGTCATCGGTCAAAGCCAAAGTCGCGTTATCGAAACAGTCAATTCATCTTTCAGGACAAAAAAATGGGAATCTGTGAATATTTCTTGGATCGTGTAAAACAATTATTTTTGTTCTTAATGATTCCTCCTGCCCTCAAAATTGAGTATATCAACTGTGGTGGGTATGAAAGATAAAATATGGTACACTTCATTTGGGAGTGTTTGAGAATCATATGGATGTGTTTGAGAAAGGAAAACGAGAAGAGAAGAGCGAGCGCACAGATATTCTGCAAAAAAATTAATTATGAAAATAGCCGCTGGCTACCACGTAGCATTTTGAACGTTGTGTATAGTTTATTTAGTCACCTCAGCGCATCATCGAAACTTTCAATTCATCTTTCAGGTTCAGGACAAAATAATGAGAATCCGTGAAAGAGTTATTGATTTATTGCAATTTTTCAGGACAAAATAATGGGAACCCGTGAAAGAGTTATTGATTTATTGCAATCGTATATGCACTCAAATTTTGGTCGATCAATTATAAATAAAAATATATTTTATATTATAATTTTTTTATCCTGTCTTACAGATTTTATTTCTTTATTATAATACTAATTTATATTATATTATGTTCAATTTTTATATATCCTTAACTTTCAACTTTAAAAGTTATAACCAGGTTTGAAAACATGGTCCAAGTAAACCCGATAAAATAAAATCTCTAGTTAACCGGTTGAACCAACAGACTGATGACATCATCATTGACCCATTTTTATCCCAGTAATACTACACTTACCGATCAAGCTACCGATTTTCACATACCGACCCACCTGTTCAATTACCCAAATCTCAAAATTTAACTCAATTCACATGAGTCAGTATGTCAAATCGATAGTTTAATCGGTAAGTCAAGTATTATAGTTTTTATCCTCATCACTGCATTTATGTTTTCTGTTGCATGCACTTCTCCTTTTATCTCATTGGGCCATCAATCCCTCGCTCTTTGATGTATCCACTTCTCCTTCCTTTGTCTCATTGACCATCAATCCCCCACCTCTAGTTCTTTTTCAATGACATTTATTAAGCCTCTTGATGACATTTAGGCATGGTATGGGGCAGGGCGGGGGAAAGGCATCACCCACCCCCGCCCCATCCCCGAGAATGGGGATTAAAACACCCCCCACCCCTATCCCCAAAAAAACCAAGGCTTCTCTGCTCCATATGGGGCAAGGCAGGGCGGGACGGGTCTCAAAATCCCGAGGAACATTGTCATGTCTAATGACATTTAATAAACCAAACTCTGTTGACTTTTTCTACGAAAGTTTATTGAATGCAATTTATTTTTAATCTCTTCCATGTTAAAATTGTAGGAACGAAGAACAGTAGAGAGAGAGCTTCAACAGCTTCTTTCTCCATCTTTCTTTCTTGTTCTTCACTCTTTCATTTTTACTGTTTTAATTTTTAAAGCTCTTCCGGCTCTTCAACTTTCTTCTAATCAAAGGGTGCACGCCTTCTACACCAAAACACACAAACACATTCACTCTTCTCTTTTGACAAAATCCTCATTTTCTTCTCTCTTATTAGTTGTGTGTCGCTACTATTATATGCGCCTCCACCATTCTCCACCACCATCGCCACCGCAGCAACAACGGCTTAGGGTTTCAACTCCTCTCATTTGTTAGTTAGTCTTATTTTTTCCTTGATTAGCCTAAAGTCTTTAATTGAAAATCATAATAGGGATTTTAGATGCTAGAATGTAGTAATTTGAGTTGACCTGGTTTTGTGCCAAAACCAGTTGGACCGGCAGTTAGCTACAGTAATCTCAATCTAACTACGGCTCATACCAAGTGAATTTATATCACCAGTTTTTATGCGGCTCGACTCGGTTTAATTGCCAGTTCCTAGTCGAATTGGTTAAACTAATTAGGCTGGATCGAGTTTTAAAATACTGATTATAACCTCATCATAGTAATAAAATTAGTTTGATCTCATTATCATGACTATTGAGATGTTCTTTCTCTCTCTCTCTCTCTCTCTCTCTCTCTCTCTCTCTCTCCCTCTCTCATCTCTCTCTCTCTCTTCTCTCTCTCTCTCTATATATATATATATATATATATATATTATATATATATATATATATATATATATATTAATATATAATATATATATTATAATATATATATATATATATATATTATATATATATATATATGAAATTGTCTTACTAAGGCACAAATTTATGTATACTTGTTCCAAGAGGGGTAAACATAAAACTATGTTGAGTAGGGTTTTTTTTTTTTTTTTTTTTCAAATAAAACACAAAAAATATTAAGAAGAAAAAAAATTTATTAGATGAATCTTAACTATATAAGAGCCTTTTCAACAAAATAAAAAAAATAAATAGAGACAACACTTTCTAATAGATGATATAGTGAGGATTACCTTAAATAATAAGATATATTCACTGTCCACTGACCAGAAATTTGTTAAGAGTTCATACCGTTATTATCTAAAATCCACCTAATTTTCTATTAAACCTGACTCTCTACACATGCCAAAAAGGAAATACAGAGAAAAAAATTTGACCAATAAAAATTTGTTTGTTTCAGTTTCACATATGCTGAGAGCCTGTTTGGTTGGGCTTCTTTACTAGACAAAATAGCTTTATTTATTTATTTTTATTCTTTAAGCACTTTCGAGTTTTCTTTAGGTTGTATGGTTGCCTTTCAAAAGTGCTTATACTGTTATAAAAAAAGCTAGTTTACGGCCTATGGCCTATGGGAGAAGCTTAAACATAAACTCTTTTTGAGCTTATAAAAAATGTTGAAATTTCAAAAATAACCCCGTTCAATCTTTTAAATTTCTCTTGATCTGTGTATATTAAAACCCCTTTTCGTAAATTAATATCACAAAGCCCTTTTACTTTTTCCTAGCCAAACAAACTCCTCTAATAAGCTCGTCTTCTATAAACTCTTTTTCTTTAAGCTATACCTGAAGAAGCCGTATAACTCGGACCTTGAAATTTGCCGGAAATTGGATTTGAAATATAAGTTTGAGCCTAGCCCAAATAGAAAATAGTATGGGCGAACTTATAAAAAGGATGAACTCACTCAAGTAAAGCCCAACAAGGCAAAGCCCAGAAGTTGAATTTAGAGAAGGAAAGCTGACTTTGGAAGATGATGGAAGAATCTCAACATCTTCAAGCAATAAATTCAAAACTCTTTTTCAAGGATTATCCAAGCTTGAAATAACATTGAGCAATTGCATTTGCCTCGTTTGTCACATGTTGGATTTCCATGTATGTCCACCCTCAGTATTCTCATACATAGTGTTCATTGAAAAGCAACTCTTCTCCAAATCGAACTCAGGTTTCAACTTTTATCGCACCATGTTCTCCATCAAGCAACTCTTGTCAAAATCTCGAAGGGTGTTGAGTTGGATTCTGTAATAGAGTTTAATTACTAGACATTGCTTAAACAATGAGTTATCGTCATCCAAATTCTCTATGAATGTTTCAAACAAATTCTATTAGCCCAAGTTATGAACTACAAACACTTACAAATTCTATTACGCCAATGTAATACTCTTGAATTCCTGAAACAAATCCACGCTCAAGCAGTAACACTTGGAATTCTCCACCATCACCAACCTTTTGCGTGCAAATTACTTAACTCTTACGCCAAATTGGGAACCTCACAGGAACCCAACACACTCTTTAGTCAAATTCAAAACCCAGATATAGTTTCATGGACATGTCTCATTAATCTTCACGTGCAAGTTCGAGAACCCAGAAAAGCTTTGTGGGTATTTTCTCGTTTAATTTGTAAAACTATAGAACCTGATAGCTATTCTGTTGTTGCTGCTTTATCAGCTTGTAAATGTATAAAAGATTTGGCTTGTGGTAGGATAGTTCATGGGATAATTGTCAAGTTTTCATTAGGGTTTGACCCAATTGTGGGTAATGCGTTGATTGATATGTATAGCAAGAATAAAGATATTGAATCGACTGAGAAAGTTTTTAAATGTATGGAATGTAAAGATATTGCTTCATGGAATAGTTTGCTTAATGGGTTTGCAATGGTCAATGATTTGGAATCTTCTCGCCTGGTGTTCGATGAAATGCCTCAGAGAAATTCGGTTTCTTGGAATGCAATGATAACGGCTTATGTTCGAGGGAGGGAAATAGTTGAGGCATTGGAACTTTTTAGGGAAATGAAAGCAGGAGGAGAGTATTGTACGGTGATTACTATTGTGGCTGTATTGTCGGGTTGTGCTGACATTGGAGCTCTTGATCTTGGTAAATGCATTCATGGTTATGTTAGTAAAAGTAATCTTGGTTTTGGTGTTACTGTGAATAATGCTTTGATGGATATGTATGCAAAGAGTGGATGTCTTGATATGGCATTGAAGGTTATTAGTGAGATACGGGAGAAGGATGTGTTTTCATGGACTACTTTGATATCAGGATATGCATTTCATGGTAAAGGAAAGAATGCTCTAGAGGTTTTTGGTGACATGATAGAATTGAAGATCAAACCGAATGAGGTTACATTCTTGTCAGTTCTATCAGCTTGTAGTCATGCAGGGTTACTTGTTGAGGGTCAGAGATTGTTCAATAGGATGAACAAATTCTATGGTTTGCAACCCAAGATTGAGCATTATGGTTGCATGGTGGATCTTCTTGGCCGAGCTGGGCTTTTAGAAGAAGCTAAAGATTTTATTGAACAGATGCCAATCAACCCGGATGCTGTTATTTGGAGATCATTACTTAGGGCTTGTTTGGTCCATGGGAACTTGAATTTAGCTGAAATGGCTGCAAAAATGTTAATTGAATTAGAACCAGATGATGATGGGGTTTATATACTATTATGGAATATTTATTTTGCTGCAAATAGGCAGGAAGATGCATTAAAGATGAGGACGTTTATGCAAAATCAAAAAGTAAAGAAAAAATCTGGGTGTAGTTGGGTTGAGGTGAATGGTGTTACTCACGAATTCAAGGCTGACTATGTGATGCACCACGCCGGAACAGAAATTTTCTTGGTTCTAGAAGGGATCAATGAGCAAACAAAGTTGGATGGCCAATTTTTCGTTTTGGAATGAAAGTGGACAATTATGTTGAGGGTGAATCATTTTTGGAAGACATTATGGCCATCGAGAACCTAAGGTAGGAAATAATTCATTCATCTCTGGTTTTTTTGTTTTTCCAATTTCTGTTTCAAAATGAGGAAGTGTTACACTTCCTTTATTACAATCTTTCTTATTGTGATAATAAACACACCAAACAGTTTATTCTTGTCATTCCTTTTATATTATTCAAATTAGCACTTCAGGGTTCAGTCAGTTATTGGCGCCAAAAAGCTCCTACATGTGCACGTGTTAGGTGAATTTTTTATACTTTTTCTCATTTTATACAGCATTATGTTTGCCATATATTTAAGTGATTGTGTTTATATGTAAGGGTAGTTGGTTTCTAAAAACTGTGTTTTTATTTTTGGTATTCTGTACTTCTGTTTATTGAGATCAATCTAAAACTATGTAATCAACTCAAAATTATGAACTATGATACAGAATGTGCTCATTATTAAAGGGTTAACTTTTGCCTGGGGTAATGGTAGCTGAATAGTATGGCTTTGATTGTTTGATTGACAACTGTATTAATACCATTTCAGGTTTTAAACCAAGGGAACAAGACTACAGCCTCCATGAATTTATAATATAGTTTGTTCAGGTTTCTTCAAGCAGTCTGTAAAACTCATTGCAAAGATAAATAGTTCCTTTTGACATGATTTATCTCGAGGTAAATCTCCTTTGCACTTAATTTAGTGAATAAAAAGCAGCCAATTGGAAATGTTTTATCTCTGATATTTAATTCTTCATGCAGAAACACGGCACAGAGTTACCAGGTTTGAATCATATGGCAAGCTTGTCTAACACATGCAATCCTGTTGAAAACAATGACACTCTTGCATGTAAATTCCATCAACAATTTCAAGTAAAAAAACTCAACACATTAATTCAGCACAAACTTGATTAGCCTTATTTTTTCAGGTTTGTTAATTAGTCTTATTTTTTACTTGATTAGCCTAATGTCTTTAATTAAAAATCATAAAAGTGATTTAGATGTTAGAATGTAGTAATTTGAGTTGACATGGTTTTGTGCCAAAACTAGTTGGACCGGCAATTAGCTACAGTAATCTCAATCTAACTACAGCTCAAACTGGGTAAATTTATATCACCGGTTTTTATGTTGGCTCTGGCTTAATAGCCGGTTTCTGATCAAACCGACCAGGCCAGGGCGAGTTTTAAAATACTAGTTATAACTTCCTCATAATAATAAAATTAGTTTGGTCCCACTATCATGACTAACTATATATATACACTTTTATTATAACAATTAATAAGTTTATAATCTATAACATACATTCAATTGTTGGATCAGGAAATTGTGTTATTAAGTCACAAATTTATGTATACTTGTTCCAAGAGGGGTAAACATAAAATTTTGTTAGATAGGTATTTTTTTTTTTTTTTTTAAACAAAAAGGTCTGATTATTTAAATATTTTTAACTATCCTATTCATACTATTTCCAGAATACTAGTTTGTTTCTCTATTCTGAAAATACTATTATATTTTCTTCAACTACATTTTAAACCCCTTAAGTTGATTAATTTAACTAAATACCCCCATAAAAAAGTTTAGAAATTGATAAAAACACCCTCACCCACCCACATTTGTCAAATTCCAGCTACCACAAACAGAATGTGGTCGGAATCTGGTTTAATGACTCACTACCTACTGGATATGGCCGGTAGTGCGCCGTTCTATCATTTTCTGGCCAGATCCCACGGCCAAAGATGACAGCCAGATCTTTCACCGTAGCTGGTCTTCAATGAGGACCATATCTTGGCCGTCGTTGATGACCAAACATGGCTAGATCTAGCCGTAGATTTGGCCTTTTCCGGCCAGATCGATTGTGGATCTGGCTAGAAAATGTCATCTCGGCGCACGATCAGGGAATGTTGGATTACTGGAAAGTTAGATTACCTTGAATATTACTGGAAATCTTTAGGAAAATGTGTTTGGTTAATTGGTGGGTATGTTATATTAATATGTTTGGTTGGGAGGAATAAATTAGTGGGTATGTTATATTAATATGTTTGGTTAGGAGGAATAAATTGGTGGGTATGTTATTTAAATTACTGAATTGTCCTCTAATTAAATATTATTATTATATTAATTTTTAATATTGATTGTTATTTGGATTATTATAACCCCCCAACATTTAAAAACTTAGCAAAAACAACCCCATAATAAAAGTTTAGAAAATCAATAAAGCACCCCCACCAACCCAGCCGCTGTTGACAACCATTGCAGGTCGTCGGCAACCTAACGGCGCACGGAAGGCAGGAAGTGGCTTCTGTGAGTTGTCTGGCCGGAAATGGCCAGACGTGACAGATCTGGCTGTCGACGGCCAGATCGATGACGGATCTGGCCATCAACGGCTAGATCAATAATGAATCTGGCAGTCAAAAACCAAATCGATGGCCGTTGACGGCCACAGACGTGGTCGTTGGCGGCCAGATCCACGCACGACGACCATTTTCGGCCTTCAGTGTGTCGTTCCGATGGCGGTCGCGGCAGTGGGTGCTAGCGGCAGCAAGTGGGTCGGGGTGGTGGCTTGGGTGGACTACAATTTGTTTTGAATTCAAGGGTAATTTTGCCTAAAAAATTAATTAATTGGAGTGAAATAGTAAAAATCATATTCATGTAAATAAATTTAAAAATAAAGGCATTATTGTCTTAAAATTTTATTAATAAGGGATATAATTATAACAAAAAAAGATAACCTTGGTAATCTTAGAATACCTAAAAAAGTAAAGGGAATCAAATTACCTCTAATATTACTAATAGTAACCACTATTGGTATTTGAAGATTACCAGTATCTTATATTACTTGACAGTCAAACATGGTAATCAAGTAATATAAGATGACTTAACTCCAGTAATCTCATGTAACCCCAACTAAACGCTCCATAAATAATAAGATATATTCACTTTCCACTGACCAGAAATTTGTTGAGAGTTCATACAGTTATCTAAAATCCACCTAATTTTCTATTAAACCTGACTCTCTACACATGCCAAAAAGGAAATATAGAGAAAAAAATTTGACCAATAAAAATTTGTTTGTTTCACCTATGCTGAGAGCCTGTTTGGTTGGGCTTCTTTACTAGACAAAATAACTTTATTTATTTATTTTGATTCTTTAAGCACTTTCGAATTTTCTTTAGGTTGTATGGTTGCCTTTCAAAAGTGCTTATACTGTTATAAAAAAGCTAGTTTACAGCTTATGGGAGAAGCTCAAACATAAACTCCTTTTGAGCTTATCAAAAATATTGAAATTTCAAAAGCAACTCTTCTCCAAATCGAACTCAGGTTTCAACTTTTATGGCATCATGTTCTCCATCAAGCAACTCTTGTCAAAATCTCGAAGGTTGTTGAGTTGGATTCTGTAATAGAGTTTAATTACTGACATTGCTTAAACAATGAGGTATCGTCATCCAAATTCTCTATGAATGTTTCAAACAAATTCTATTAGCCCAAGTTATGAACTACAAACACTTACAAATTCTATTACGCCAATGTAATACTCTTGAATTCCTGAAACAAATCCACGCTCAAGCAGTAACACTTGGAATTCTCCACCATCACCAACCTTTTGCGTGCAAATTACTTAACTCTTACGCCAAATTGGGAACCTCACAGGAACCCAACACACTCTTTAGTCAAATTCAAAACCCAGATATAGTTTCATGGACATGTCTCATTAATCTTCACGTGCAAGTTCGAGAACCCAGAAAAGCTTTGTGGGTATTTTCTCGTTTAATTTGTAGAAATATAGAACCTGATAGCTACTCTGTTGTTGCTGCTTTATCAGCTTGTAAATGTATAAAAGATTTGGCTTGTGGTAGGATAGTTCATGGGATAATTGTCAGGTTTTCATTAGGGTTTGACCCAATTGTGGGTAATGCGTTGATTGATATGTATAGCAAGAATAAAGATATTGAATCGACTGAGAAAGTTTTTAAATGTATGGAATGTAAAGATATTGCTTCATGGAATAGTTTGCTTAATGGGTTTGCAATGGTCAATGATTTGGAGTCTTCTCGCCTGGTGTTTGATGAAATGCCTCAGAGAAATTCGGTTTCTTGGAATGCAATGATAACGGTTTATTTTCGAGGGATGGAAATAGTTGAGGCATTGGAACTTTTTAGGGAAATGAAAGCTGGAGGAGAGTTTTGTACGGTGATTACTATTGTGGCTGTATTGTCGGGTTGTGCTGACATTGGAGCTCTTGATCTTGGTAAATGCATTCATGGTTATGTTAGTAAAAGTAATCTTGGTTTTGGTGTTACTGTGAATAACGCTTTGATGGGTATGTATGCAAAGAGTGGATGTCTTGATTTGGCATTGAAGGTATTTAGTGAGATACGGGAGAAGGATATCTTTTCATGGACTACTTTGATATCAGGATATGCATTTCATGGTAAAGGAAAGAATGCTCTAGAGGTTTTTGCTGACATGATAGAATTGAAGATCAAACCGAATGAGGTTACATTTTTGTCAGTTCTAGTAGCTTGCAGTCATGCAGGGTTACTTGTTGAGGGTCAGAGATTGTTCAATAGGATGAACAAATTCTGTGGTTTGCAACCCAAGATTGAGCATTATGGTTGCATGGTGGATCTTCTTGGCCGAGCTGGGCTTTTAGAAGAAGCTAAAGATTTTATTGAACTGATGCCAATTAACCCAGATGCTGTTATTTGGAGATCATTACTTAGGGCTTGTTTGGTCCATGGGAACTTGAATTTAGCTGAAATGGCTGCAAAAATGTTAATTGAATTAGAACCAGATGATGATGGGGTTTATATACTATTATGGAATATTTATATTGCTGCAAATAGGCAGGAAGATGCATTAAAGATGAGGACGTTTATGCGAAATCATAAAGTAACGAAAAAATCTGGGTGTAGTTGGGTTGAGGTGAATGGTGTTACTCACGAATTCAAGGCTGACTATGTGATGCACCACGCTGGAACAGAAATTTTCTTGGTTCTAGAAGGGATCAATGAGCAAACAAAGTTGGATGGCCAATTTTTCGTTTTGGAATGCAAGTAGACAATTATGCTGAGAGTGAATCATTTTTGGAAGACATTATGGCCATCGAGAACCTAAGGTAGGAAATAATTCGCTCATCTCTGGTTTTTTTTGTTTTTCCAATTCTGTTTTGAAATGAGGAAGTGTTACACTTCCTTTATCACAATCTTTCTGATTATGATAATAAACACACCAAACAGTTTATTCTTGTCATTCCTTTTATATTATTCAAATTAGCACTTCAGGGTTCAGTCAGTTATTGGCGCCAAAAAGCTCCTACATGTGCACGTATTAGGTGAATTTTTTATACTTTTTCTCATTTTATACAGCATTATGTTTGCTATATATTTAAGTGATTGTGTTTATATGTAAGGGTATTATTCAAATTAGCACTTCAGGGTTCAGTCAGTTTTTATTTTTGGTATTCTGTGCTTCTGTTTATTGAGATCAATCTAAAACTATGTAATCAACTCAAAATTATGAACTATGATACAGAATGTGCTCATTATTAAAGGGTTAACTTTTGCCTGGGGTAATGGTAGCTGAATAGTATGGCTTTGATTGTTTGATTGACAACTGTATTAATACCATTTCAGGTTTTAAAGCAAGGGAACAAGACTACAGCCTCCATGAATTTATAATATAGTTTGTTCAGGTTTCTTCAAGCAGTCTGTAAAACTCATTGCAAAGATAAATAGTTCCTTTTGACATGATTTATCTCGAGGTAAATCTCCTTTGCACTTAATTTAGTGAATAAAAAGCAGCCAATTTGGAAATGTTTTATCTCTGATATTTAATTCTTCATGCAGAAACACGGCATAGAGTTACCCGGTTTGAAGCATATGGCAAGCTTGTCTAACACATGCAATCCTTTTGAAAACAATGACACTCCTTGCATGTAAATTCCATCAACAATTTCAAGTAAAAAAACTCAACACATTAATTCAACACAAACTTTCAATTTAAACATGCAAGCTTGAATTTGAAGGAAAATCTTAGTTTTTGCCACTCACAACTTTTGATGTTCAACCATTAAGCTGAAGAAGGTTTGTGGTCCTCTAACGGTGCTCCCGGCTTGTCTTTCGGTATACAAAATCCAATAATTTCTTCGTACAGAGGTCTCCCTGTGTTAACACATCAATATTAATAGACTCAACTGAATTGGCTTGGTTTTGTAGCTTGTTCTCTGAAATTGGACTGCATTTGACTGAAGTTCCTGTCATCTGGTGTGATAACCAGAGTGCTGGTTCCCTGGCTTCCAATCCTGTCTTTCATAGGAGGACTAAACACATTGAGTTAGATACTCACTATATAAGAGAGCAAGTCACATCCAACAAGCTTAAGGTACAGCATGTTCCTACTGAATACCAAAAGGCTGATATTTTCACTAAAGCTCTTCCATTTTCCAGGTTTGAAATTCTTAGAGAAAAATTGACCATCAAAGCTCCTGCTGCTGCTGCTAAAATCTGTGATTCTGTTGCTTCTACTTCTGCTAAATAATTTGTTGATTTGTCAAATTGTCTCATTTGAGCTTGTTGAAGTGTTTACAATGTTTACCAGTATATGGTAAGATGAACTAACTGAGAGGATCAGTTACTGAGTAGTATAGTTATTTTACAGGTTCTGAAATGTTGCTCTATGCTGAAACTGTGATGTTCTGCAATGTTGCTCATGACACTGTGATGGTTTTATAACATAAACCTGACATGACTTACTTGGGCTGCTTTGATAAGGACGCTGAGAAATCTGTAGTTTGTGTGATAATTTGAAAATTTATTGATTGTTGAAGCTGCAGAACAATTAGTATTTTGAAGACTAAGTCGTTTGTGTACTTTGAAGACTAAGCCATATGTATGCTGAGAAATCTGTAGTTTGTGTTGATAAAGTTGCAGAGCAATTAGTACTTTGATGACTAAGTCGTTTGTATACTTTGAAGACTAAGTCATCTGTATGCTAAGAAATCTGTAATTTGTGCTGATGTTTTGAAGATTTATTGATAGTTGCTGAAGTTGCAGAGCAATCAGTAGTTTGAAGACTTGAATTCCGAAGTCTCAAGAAAGATTAAAGAATTCAGAAGCTTAAATTAAGGAGAAATGTTAGTAAGTACTGAAGTAGTGGCAAGTTGTGGAGTGTTTTTTAAGGATGTTAGGTTATGAAAATGATGACTACTGAGGTAGTGACAGGTTGTGGAAGTTTTGTTTAAGGGAGGATGTTAGGATATGGAAATGTTGACAAAGTTGGCCAGTTAGCTAACTGTTTCAGTAGTTACTTTTAAGTTTTGTTTAACAAAATTGTATATAAATGCTTGTAACAACTATTTCAATAAACTAATAAAGAATTACAAGTCTTTCTTCTAAAACATTTTCTCTGTTTTCTTTCTTCACTATCATCATTCTTCACTTCACTATAAAGATATTTTACTGTATATACAACCTCTTTAATTCAGTATATACATGGTTATGCATGTTATCTTAAAGTCGAATAATTTTCTCATATTCATATTAAAATTCAAAATAATTAACAACATATATGAAAGATAGTCTTGTGAATGACAGACGAAAGAGGTACATAACAAGTTTTTATTGCATTGTAGTACAAAAACAGGCTAAAATATAGCCAATTAAGCTAGACGTAAACAGTCACAACCCTAATAACTTAAACAAACCACGTAACTAAAAAGTAAAATACATAGCTCTGATCAAACAGGTATTGGATCCACGAACAACTTGATGATGTAATCTTTCAAATCCTCTGGAAATGTGAATCCATCTTGGTTCTTGTACAGTATTTCTGCTAATCGTGCAAAATTGACAACTGTAACTAAGATGTTTCTTGAAACATCAGTTTGTTTCATGTACTCTTCATTAATATCCTTCCAAGCATTAGCAATCAATATTTTTTCAAACTTTTCAACAGTTTCCTCTTTGGAGATGCCATATTGCTTCATGTAGCAGCCTACGGTAGACGAAACATGTCCTCTCTTTTGCTCAAACTTCAAATATGTTTTGTATTGGTAATTAATTAGATGGCCTACATGAAATAAATACAGAAAATATTTGTGCAAAAAAAATTAATTTTTTTTTTAATTTACCTCGTGAGCTTTGATGTCACCCTTGAGACGACCGATTGTAAATACAGCTTCAACAATTTTAGGATGATTTTGTAGCCATTCAAATTCGTTGATCCTCGCAGTTTCTCCCATCCCCACAAATGATGCTGCTATTACGAAACCAGTACCTGCTGTGATTATTGCATTGCTTAACCGTTGGTTGAATGATGGAACAAAACCTTCATTGAACCATTTGGCCTCTTCAAGACAGGCTCTCACATACTCTTTCAGCTGGTTATTAACAAAAATAAATAAATAGATAGATGTTAATAAAATTAAAAAAATTGATTTGCGAAAATTTACAATTATGAGTTTTGAAAAGTAATAGCAAACAGATATGATTTACCTTATCCTTCGTAATTGATACACTATAAGATCTTCCTTCCTCGCTCACATCATTATTTAATTCATCAAAGAGATTAAGGATAACACTATATAGTGTTTTCATATAATCTGGCAAGTCACCAGTGGCATGAGTGTCCCACCTGAAAGTAACATTATGATTTTTAAGATTTGAATTAATTACACAGATTACCTTGACCATACACACACACCCACACACATACACACACATACATATACCTTTCTAAGGCGTCTGTAAAACTTTGAAGCTCTTCAAGTGTACCATATGCATCATATGTATCATCTGTAATCGTTAATATCATCATAAGTTTGGTCTGTACTATACGGGCACGTGAATAGCGAGGCTCAAAATAATTTGCAGTCGTCCAGAAGTACATCTCCACAATTCTATCTCTTGAGTAAGAAAACTTTGATGCAAATTTATTATCTTTCCACCAACTGAAATAAGAATGACAACACAATCTAGATTTATTATTATATAAAATAGCTACCTGATCTTCAAAAACACGTAGCTAGGTATCCAATCATATGAAAGATGTTGGTCTTAGGGGTTGACATGGTCAGCACTAATTACTAAAAAAATTCAGCAAACTTACCGGGTGACATGTTTGAGCTCTTGTTGGTGCAATAATTGTACCCGATTAAAATCTAGTTTTGCAAATATGAGTAGAGTTTCATTTCTGTATTCGCCTAGATCTTCTTGGTAGAAAGAGATGTATTTGTGTGTCTCCAATCTTGGTACATTTTTGTGCAAGGGCGCTTCTAGAGCACTTGTTATATGTTTTGCTAGATGATCTGGACTTGATTTAGCCAAGGACTTGAGATTAGTTGTTGTAAAATCAAGGGCCTCCTCAAGAATATCTTCTCCACGTACTCTCAAATGAGTAGCTTCATACAAACTCAGCATGCCCCTTGCATCCCCGGCTAAGTTTTCCTTGAACGTACCATTACTATCCTTAAATTTGTCAAACACACCTGATACTTACAAATATATATATATAAGAGTTGTTTAATCATTATGTTTATTTCTTTAATTTATATAATAAAACTTGAGATCTACTTACCGCAAGACATCTTGAAACCATGTTGTCTAAAAACTCGAAATAGAAGAGCAATAGTGTAGAGATCATAATCATTATCTTCCGCAAGGTTAGGTTGTGCTTCAAAAATTTGATTTAGTTGTTCTTCAATTTCCGTCTCAAAGTGATATGACACACCAAGTCGACATATAGAGTCAATGAAACAAACTTTCTCCGCCGGATCACTCGCAGAAGCAATTAACATTTCTTTCACCTGTTGCTTAAGCTCTTCAGCGAGTTTATCATTTGATTCAATTTCCTAAAATCAAAACAACATAAAATTTATGCATCAGAATTTAGTAAAACAAAGAGAATAGAATATTCATATTTCAAAAAATAACTGGTAATAGGAAATTAATTAGATAGAGCTAATTATTTACGATGACCAGTACTACTATAGCATAATTAACTTAATCAATTTGCTAAAACACGAAGATTAATATGGCATGGAAAGGAAACTAATATAAATTAATTATACCAATTGAGGTATTTCAGAAGTGAAGATGTTGGGGTCTTTCCAAATGGAAGGGGCAAAGTTTGCCAATGGACGATAAGCTTCTTGGTTGTTATTAGATGCTAAACATGGCTGCAGCCTCCTTGATGCTTGCAGTGATTTTGCAGAATGCTTAACAATATTGCTAGGAGAAGCAAAAAAATCATGAACAAATATTTTAGAGGGAGGATTTGCGGTTGATGGTGGAAAGCATTTCGAGGAGTTCAGTGCTGATACATGAGTTTGCAAAGCCATTGATGAGTTCATGGAAATGTAAATGAAGTAAGATAGATGACCAACTTGTGCTAATCAAAGGCTCAAATGGACCCTATTTATAGAAAGCGTTCCGTCATGTTCTGACTAGTGAATAACTTGCTCCATATTTATCAAGCTCTTAGATCATCCTCTGACAGCCTATTTTAATGTGTTCAGGCTCTCAGATTATATTCTGACAGGCTATTTTGATGTGTTCATATCGACCTTATCCTTTTGTAAATAAGTAATGCTACCAATCCGACTATGAAAAATGAAAATGACCACATTGTGAAAGAGAAATTAATATCGTTTTGACTGTGAAATATATTGATCGGCCATTGACGCGTCATCTAATAATAAATGTGTACAGCAATAAGTCTAAAACTCTTTTATCACAAGTTTTGCCAACAGCGGGCGAAATGGAACATTGCCTTCCTCCGTGTTCATCGCATGTTGGAAAAAAATTTATAGGCCCTATCTTTTTGTGAAATAACACTTTCTTACCCTTGGTTTTGGAAACTATCAACCGACGTCCATGCATCTTTTTGTGAATAGTAATCTCCCATCTAATCTTAATTATTTAGTGTGTTTTACTAAATCCCCTCCATTTCTTTACTGTCTACATGTGACCCAGTAAAATAAGAACATTTCAATTAGAACCCGACCTTTCCCATCACATGAATGATTTCTCACCCAATTTAACATCATCAACTTAATATATTAAAGTTATAAGTAATACTACATCAGTAACCCTTTCTCACAAACTTTCTCTCACAACCCTGACGTGGTAACTCGTAATTGGTCAACTCGTAATTAATTAGTAAGACTCATGTGAGACCCATTATGAATTAACCAATTACAAGTTATCACGTCAAGGTTGTGAGAGAGAGTTGTTGGTATAGTATTACTCTAAAGTTATTGGCTAGTAGTTTGGGCAATATGGTACTTCAATGTAATATTTTGCAATATTTAGGTGTGTTTGAGATTCAAGACAAGAAGAGAAGACAGAGCAAAAATATTTAGAAGCAAACAGCTTTCTGCAAAAAAATCACTTTCAGGACAAAATAATGAGAATCCGTGAAAGAGTTTTTGATTTATTGCAATTTTTAGCCAATAACCTGCTTGAATTATATATATTTCCTAGTAAGGCTAGGCTCAAACTTATATTTGGATAATGATTGCTCACAACCAAATTTTATTAAGATCTAAAATCCCTCTGATTTTTTGCTACATTAAATGAGAGAAACCCCTACCTTTCCCATCACATGGATGATGGCGTCAACTTAATATAATGATCACCTTCTAGGTCACTCCTTTGACGACTATTAATTTAGTTTTAAACCTACTATTTGAAGATGCTGTTAAAATAGCTCCTTTATCTTTTTGACTCCGGAAATGAACATTGATTTGATCCACACATGATTCCGGCCACAACCAAACCAAACCCTCAGTATTTTCACTCTCGAAAAGCCAAATGAGAAGTTGTATATTATATAGCATTCCTTTTAATAATACGACATTGGCTAGTGGTTTGATCAAATATGGTACTTCAATGTAATGTTTTGCAATATTTGGGAGCGTTTCGGATTCTGAAACAAGAAGAGCCAACAACGTCCTACAAAAAAAAAAATTAATTGTGAAAATAGCCGCTGGCCACCACGTAGCATTTTGAACGTCGTATGTAGTTTATTTAGTCACCTCACTGCTCAGACTGAAAGCCGCATCATCGAAACTTTCAATTCATCTTTCAGGTTCAGGACAAAATAATGAGAATCCGCGAAAGAGTATTGATTTATTGCAATTTTTCAGGAAAAAATAATGGGAACCCGTGAAAGAGTTATTGATTTATTGCAGTCGTGTATGCACTGAAATTTTGGTCGATCAATTATAATAAAAATATATTTTAGATTATAATAAATTATAATTTTTTTATCCTGTCTTACAGAATTTATTTTTTTATTATAATACTAATTTATATTATATTATGTTCAATTTTTATATATCCTTAACTTTTAACTTTAAAAGTTATAACCAGGTTTGAAAACATGGTCAAGTAAACCAATGTTCTGAAAATCAGACCGGACAATGACCCGTTCAAGAGTCCAGTTTTCAGTTTGACCGATTGGATCGGTCGGTTTGACCGTAATTTATAAAATTATTTTTAGTCCCTAAAGGTTTGAAATTCATAAACAACACCCCTTATAATACTCCCTTAAGGTTTGAAATCTATCTAAAACACCCCTGTCGCGAGAAGATTCTGGTGAGTGTGGGGCAGCGACGATCGACGGCCAATCGAAGCTGGAATCTCGGGGCTTTTGATGTGCAGGTGCCGACGACTCTGATGGTGGTGCGACGGAGTTCCATCAGCGTCGGAACTCGCTGGAATCAACGAAAGAAATCCGACGTCGCGTAAAGCCGTAAACTTTAGGTGGACGGCGATTGACGAAGGCTAGACGACGGCGACTGAAAATGGATGGGTTTGGTCGTGGAAATGTCGTCAGTCGAAAGATGCCGGAATCCGACGGTGATTGGACCGCGATTCGGCACTATTCTGGTGGTTCAACCGCAGTCCAATCCGGTTTAACTTCAAATAGCGGTTTTTTATATATACCGGACTGGATTTGCTGTCGGTTGCCGGTCTAACCGGTCCGACTAGGTGGTCCGATCCGGTTTTCAGAACACTGAAGTAAACCCGATAAATAATCAAATCTCCAGTTAACCGGTTGAACCAACAGACTGATGACATCATCATTGGCCCATTTTTATCCTCATCACTGCATTAATGTTTTCTGTTGTATGCACTTTCTCCTTTCAATAATGCTACATTTACACCACCCATTACACCATTTTCATTACACCATGATATAGCATATCCCACATCCACACAAATTTTTAATTATTTTTAATTTTTAATATTATAATAAAAAAATTATTAGTAAAATGGTGATGGTGTAATGAAAATGATGAATGGGTAGTGTAAATGTAGCATTACTCTTCTCCTTTTATCTCATTGGCCATCAATCTCTCACTTTTTTATGTATCCACTTCTTCTTTTGTCTCATTGACCATCAACCCCCCACCTCTAGTTCTTTTTTAGATATGGTAATGAGCTCAATATTTTTTGGTATTCAGTCTAGTTTGATCCAAAAAAATCAGATTTTATCTAATATTTATGGGTTTGAGCTTGAGCCTAGGCCTGATTTTAAAGCTCGATTTTTGGTACGGGTCAGGTCTGAGTATGTTTTCAGGCCCGGCTTGGCCCAATAATTTTAATATTAATTATAATAAATTACCCTTATACTATATATTTAATTACAAGATTATCATATATATATATATATCCCCTCATTTTTCCCAAACCCTATATGGATAGATGGATGCACTTTGTGGAAAGTTATTTATATATTTGCTGAGTATTAAAAAATAAATTAATATTTAAAAATTGTTTCTAGAATTAAAAATATAAAAAAAAATTAAAATTTATTAATATTTAAAAGTTCATATTATAAAAATGAGCGGGCTTGGGCCGCGCTTGAGGTTACAAAAAGCCTGTCGAGCTGAGCTTGGGCTTTACTTATCATACCTGCGACGGACCCGGATCAAGCTTGGGCCTTTGTCATGAAGTCGAGCTTGGGCCTAGGCCAAGGGGTACTCAATCACTATTCTTTTTCAATAACATTTATTAAGCCTTTAATAATTCAATAGCTTTTTTCTCTATCTTTCTTTCTTGTTCTTCACTCTTTCATTATTACTGTTTTAATTTTTAAAGCTCTTCCGACTCTTCAGCTTTCTTCTAATCAAAAGGTGCACACCTTCTACACCAAAACACACAAACACATTCACTCTTCTCGTTTGACAAAATTCTCATTTTCTTCTCCCTCATTAGTTGTGTGTCACCACTATTATATGCACCTTCACCATTCTCCACCACAGCAACAACGGCTTACGGTTTCAACTCCTCTCGTTTGTTAATTAGTCTTATTTTTTCCTTGATTAGCTTAATGTTTTTAATTGAAAATCATAAAATTAGTGGCAGATCCGAGATTTTTATAGAGGGGGGCTCTGCAGCTCTTTCATTGTTTGCTAAACAACTAGTAAAAACTTTAAAAAATTATCAAACATTTAGCAAAGAAAATAACACGATATCAAAAACTTGAGAGAAAAAAATATAATAACGCAATACTTTCCTATTTGAATAAATCTATGAGAAGCAAAATTTTGAGTAAATATATTAAGTAAACCTTGAGCAAAACCTTCTTTTAAGTTTCATTTTTTTTTTTTTTTTAAGCTTTCAAAGATTATTATATTAATTTAATAACTTTGACCATTATAATATTAATTTAATGACTTTGACCAGACCTGACTTAAGCTAAAGTCAACCAAAACTTAAATAAAGTCAACTTTGCATTGACTTTTAATATGAATTAATAAAAAATTAAAAAAGAATTTTCTTGATATAAACATAGATAGTAACTCAAATTTCTTTAATTATTTTGAATAACAAAACGGTGAAATTTGAAATGTAGGAAAGTAATGGGTGAAGGGTAAAGAATAACGTTCTTTAAAATATAGTTAAAGTTTTAATTTAGGAAAGCAAGTTCATTCTTAGATACAAAACACAAAATAACCTCTTAAGATCCATATATTTTCCCCTCAAATTTGAATTAAAAAAAAAAAATCATTCAACCCTAAAATAAACTAAATTGAAATGAGCAATACACATACTTAAAACTGATAAAATAAAAAAAAAAAAAGCTAATTGTGATATCTTGAGTAGTGAAAGCTTCAACAATTTTAAATTTCAAAAGTTTTAAGATTAAATAGCATGAGGAAGAGAAAAAAAGAATGAGAGAGTAAATAATTTTGAGGATAAAATCATAAAAATTAGTTAAAGTCGTGGAGAAGAAGAGTGGAGAGAGTATTCAACTTTTAATATAATGTGGACTTTGAATATATATATTAATAGCAAGTTTTTTGTGAGCTTAAATATATGTATAATAATTATCATTTTTTTTTTTAAATCCGAGAGTGAGCCTAGGTATATATATTAATAACAATTTTTGTGGGTCTATATATTAATAATTTAAAAAAAAAAAAAAAAAATACTTGAGGCCTACCTCAAAGAGGTTGAATCTGCCTCTACATAAAAGGGATTTTAGATGATAGAATGTAGTAATTTGAGTTGACCTGGTTTTGTGCCAAAACCAGTTAGATCGACGGTTAGCTACAATAATCCCAATCTAACCACGGCTCATATCGAGTGAATTTATATCACTAGTTTTTATGCTAGGTAGACCCAGCTTGATAGTCGGTTTTTTATCAAACCAGGTTAAACTAACCGGGTCTGGGCAAGTTTTAAAACACTAATTATAACCTCCTCATAGTAATAAAATTAGTTTGGCGCGACCCAACCTAATAGCTGGTTCCTGGTCAAACCGGTTAAACTAACCAGGTTGGGTCGAGTTTTAAAACACTGTTTATAACCTCTTTATAATAATAAAATTAGTTTGGTCCTACTATCATGACTATAGAGATGTTCTAATATATATATACACACACACACACATAACATTCAATTGTTGGATCAAGAATTTGTCTTAGAGTCTGTTTGGCTGAGTTTATGAAAATTAGCTTATAAGCACTAGCTGCTTATAAGCTAATTTATAATTACATTTTATTATTAAAATAACTAAAAATGATGCTATATTATTTTATCAAATAATAAATTATACCATGGAGCTTTAAAATTAAATAGGGATAATGTGGTAATATATTTAGTCAAATTAGCTTAAAAGCAGAGTGCTCATAAGTTGCAAATTTTTTTTTTTTTTTTTTTTTTGGCTTATAAACTCAACTTATAAGCTCAAACAAATATGTTAGTTTAATTTTAGAGCTTATAAACTAATTTGACCAGCTTATAAGCTCAGACAAACACCTCCTTACTAAGTCACAAATTTATGTATATTTGTTCTAAGAGGGGTAAACATAAAATTGTGTTAAGTAGGTTTTTTTTTTTTTTTTTTTTTCAAATAAAACATAAAAAATATTAAGAAGAAAAAAAAAATTATTAGATGAATCTTAACTATATGAGAGCCTTTTTAACAAAATAAAAAAAATAAATAGAGACAGTACTTTCTAATAGATGATACAGTGAGGATTATCTTAAGGGCCGTTTGGATCGGGTTTAAATTTTTTAACAAGAGTAATATTTGTTTAATTGAAATTTTTTAACAAGGGTAATATTTGTTTAATTGAGTAGATTACCATGTTTGGCATTTTTGTACAAAAATATTACGGGAAAATAAGATGACAAACCGTGCTCAAAGGGGAGTAAATTGCCGGGAATATTTGTACCTCATTGGGGGGCTATTATTAAAACATTACCCAGGTAATCATAATTTATGTCCAATCTTGCCCCTAAACAGTATATTATGCGGACGAAAATATCATTGGCTTGGTTAATAATTACAAAACACCCAATTTGTAAAATGACAAAAACATCCCCACCACCACAATGCCAGATTCCGGCCACGGAATCTGCCGTTACAACTCAGAGTGGTCAAATCTGGCCGGTGCTGTGTCAATCTGGCCGAAAAAGGCAGAATGACGACCATTTCTTTGGCCATTGCTGATGGCCAGATCAGTGAATAAATGACCATTTTCGGTCGTTTTTAGGCCGTTGTGACAGATTACGGCTACCACTGACGGTGGTTGCCGGAATCTGGCAACTATGGGTGGGTGGGGTTGTTTTGTTAATTTTTAAACTTTTTTTTTCTAGGGGTGTTTAATTAAGTTAATAAACTTAAGAGGTCTAAAAATAATTAAAAAAATACAATAGTATTTCCCAAAATAATTAAACAAAAAAGTAATAATTAAACAAAAAAATATTTTGGGAATAGGATAAAGAATAAGGTTTGAAATAATAAAACAAACAAGCCCTTAATAATTTATATCTAGTAATCATCTAAAGGGTATTTTAATAAAAGGGTATTTCAAGACATCTGTTATTACTATCAACCAAACACATTAATTATTACTACATTCCAATTGAACCAAGTACAATAATAATTTAAACCCGATAATCTACAATGTAATTTTTCTTTCCGGTAATCTTATTATTAAGATAAAAAAAATTATATGATCCAAACGTCCCCTAACTAATAAGATATATTCACTGTTCACTGACCAGAAATTTGTTAAGAGTTCACACAGTTATCTAAAATCCACCTAATTTCTATTAAACCTGACTCTCTACACATGCCAAAAAGGAAATATAGAGAACAAAATTTGACCAATAAAAATTTGTTTGTTTCACCTATGCTGAGGGCCTGTTTGGTTGGGCTTCTTTACTAGACAAAATAGCTTTATTTATTTATTTTTATTCTTTAATCACTTTCAAATTTTCTTTAGGTTGTTTGGTTGCCTTTCAAAAGTGCTTATAATGTTATAAAAAAGCTAGTTTACAGCTTATGGGAGAAGCTTAAACATAAAACTCTTTTTGAGCTTATCAAAAATGTTGAAATTTCAAAAATAACCCTGTTCAATCTTTTAAATTTCTCTTGATCTATGTATATTAAAACCCCTTTTCATAAATTTATTTCAGAAAGCTCTTTGACTTTTCTTAGCCAAACAACTAACAAAATTTTCATAAAAACACTACTCTAAAAGCTCGTCTTCTATAAACTTCTTTTATTTAAGCTATACTTGAAGAAGCCGTATCACTTGGACCTAGAAATTTGCCGGAAATTGGATTTGAAATATGAGTTTGAGGCTAGCCCAATTAGGAAATAATATGGGTGAACTTATAAAAAGGATGAACTCAATTAAGTAAAGCCCAACAAGGCAAAGCCCAGAAGTTGAATTTAGAGAGGGAAAGCTGACTTTGGAAGATGATGGAAGAATCTCAACGTCTTCAAGCGATAAATTCAAAACTCTTTTTCAAGGATTATTCAAGCTTGAAATAACATTGAGCAATTGCATTTGCCTCGTTTATCACATGTTGGATTGCCATGTATTTCTACCCTCAGTATTCTCATACATAGTGTTCATTGAAAAGCAACTCTTCTCCAAATCGAACTCAGGTTTCAACTTTTATCGCACCATGTTCTCCATCAAGCAACTCTTGTCAAAATCTCGAAGGGTGTTGAGTTGGATTCTGTAATAGAGTTTAATTACTAGACGTTGCTTAAACAATGAGGTATCGTCATCTAAATTCTCTATGAATGTTTCAAACAAATTCTATTAGCCCAAGTTATGAACTACAAACGCTTACAAATTCTATTACGCCAATGTAATACTCTTGAATTCCTGAAACAAATCCACGCTCAAGCAGTAACACTTGGAATTCTCCACCATCACCAACCTTTTGCGTGCAAATTACTTAACTCGTACGCCAAATTGGGAACCTCACAGGAACCCAACACACTCTTTAGTCAAATTCAAAACCCAGATATAGTTTCATGGACATGTCTCATTAATCTTCACGTGCAAGTTCGAGAACCCAGAAAAGCTTTGTGGGTATTTTCTCGTTTAATTTGTAGAAATATAGAACCTGATAGCTACTCTGTTGTTGCTGCTTTATCAGCTTGTAAATGTATAAAAGATTTGGCTTGTGCTAGGATAGTTCATGGGATAATTGTCCGGTTTTCATTAGCGTTTGACCCAATTGTGGGTAATGCGTTGATTGATATGTATAGCAAGAATAAAGATATTGAATCGACTGAGAAAGTTTTTAAATGTATGGAATGTAAAGATATTGCTTCATGGAATAGTTTGCTTAATGGGTTTGCAATGGTCAATGATTTGGAATCTTCTCGCCTGGTGTTCGATGAAATGCCTCAGAGAAATTCGGTTTCTTGGAATGCAATGATAACGGTCTTATGTTCGAGGGAGGAAATAGTTGAGGCATTGGAACTTTTTAGGGAAATGAAAGCAGGAGGAGAGTGTTGTACGGTGATTACTATTGTGGCTGTATGTGGGTTGTGCTGACATTGGAGCTCTTGATCTTGGTAAATGCATTCATGGTTATGTTAGTAAAAGAATCTTGGTTTTGGTTTACTGTGAATAATGCTTTGATGGATTGTATGCAAAGAGTGGATGTCTTGATAGGCATTGAAGGTATTAGTGAGATACGGGAGAAGGATGTGTTTTCATGGAAACTTTGATATCAGGATATGCATTTCATGGTAAAGGAAAGAAGCTCTAGAGGTTTTTGGTGACATGATAGAATTGAAGATCAAACCGAATGAGGTTACATTCTTGTGGGTTCTATCAGCTTGTGTCATGCAGGGTTACTTGTTGAGGGTCAGAGATTGTTCAATAGGATGAACAAATTCTATGGTTTGCAACCCAAGATTGAGCATTATGGTTGCATGGTGATCTTCGGCCGAGCTGGGCTTTTAGAAGAAGCTAAAGATTTTATTGAACAGATGCAATCAACCGGATGCTGTTATTTGGAGATCATTACTTAGGGCTGTTGGTGCCATGGGAACTTGAATTTAGCTGAAATGGCTGCAAAAATGTTAATTGAATTAGAACCAGATGAGTGGGGTTTATATATTATGGAATATTATTTTGCTGCAAATAGGCAGGAAGATGCATTAAAGATGAGGACGTTTATGCGAAATCATAAAAGTAACGAAAAAATCTGGGTGTAGTTGGGTTGAGGTGAATGGTGTTACTCACGAATCAAGGCTGACTATGTGATGCACCACGCTGGAACAGAAATTTTCTTGGTTCTAGAAGGGATCAATGAGCAACAAAGTTGGATGGCCAATTTTTCGTTTTGGAATGCAAGTGACAATTATGCTGAGAGTGAATCATTTTTGGAAGACATTATGGCATCGAGAACCTAAGGTAGGAATAATTCGCTCATCTCTGGTTTTTTTTGTTTTCCAATTTCTGTTTTGAAATGAGGAAGTGTTAGATCCTTTATCACAATCTTTCTTATTATGATAATAAACACACCAAACAGTTTATTCTTGTCATTCCTTTATATTATTCAAAATAGCACTTCAGGGTTCAGTCAGTATTGGCGCCAAACGTCCTACATGTGCACGTATTAGGTGATTTTTTGTACTTTTTCTCATTTATACGCATTAGTTTGCCATATATTTAAGTGATTGTGTTATATGTAAGGGTAGTTAGTTTCTAAAAACGTGTTTTTATTTTTGGATATCTGTACTTTGTTATTGAGATCAATCTAAAACTATGTAATCAACTCAAAATTATGAACTATGATACAGAATGTGCTCATTATTAAAGGGTTAACTTTTGCCTGGGGTAATGGTAGCTGAATAGTATGGCTTTGATTGTTTGATTGACAACTGTATTAATACCATTTCAGGTTTTAAAGCAAGGGAACAAGACTACAGCCTCCATGAATTTATAATATAGTTTGTTCAGGTTTCTTCAAGCAGTCTGTAAAACTCATTGCAAAGATAAATAGTTCCTTTTGACATGATTTATCTCGAGGTAAATCTCCTTTGCACTTAATTTAGTGAATAAAGAGCAGCCAATTTGGAAATGTTTTATCTCTGAAATTTAATTCTTCATGCAGAAACACGGCATAGAGTTACCAGGTTTGAAGCATATGGCAAGCTTGTCTAACACATGCAATCCTTTTGAAAACAATGACACTCCTTGCATGTAAATTCCATAAGTGAAAAAACTCAACACATTAATTCAACACAAACTTTCAAACCCATTGCAATGATCATTTCAATTTAAACATGCAAGCTTGAATTTGAAGGAAAATCTTAGTTTTTGCCACTCACAACTTTTGATGTTCAACCATTAAGCCGAAGAAGGTTCATGGTCCTCTAACGATGCTCCCGGCTTGTCTTTTGGTATACAAAATCCAATAATTTCTTCATACAGAGGTCTCCCTGTGGTAACACATCAATATTAATATCATCAAACATCTCAATACAAATGCTTGAACTTAACTTACTTTTAACTACAAGAGTAATGCTACTCTTACTCACTCCCCATACTCACTTTTGTAAATATAAAGCATAGTACGGATACCATATGTCATTTTAGCAAAGGTGAGTAAGAGAAGTGAGTAAGAGGAGTGAGTAAAGTTAGCATTTTTCTAACTACAACTATCCTCAAAACAAAATGTTGATCACTCTCGAAATTTTCATAACAACTCCATACACCCAATCAAGTTATAATTTTCGATGGAGCATTTTAAACAGATATACATTAATCCAGTAATATTTTCAAGTCATTTCAGAATTAAAAACTATTTCAATCGTGATTTTCTTCTAATCTTTTTTCAAAACTGCCAAATTGATTTCAAAATTGATATCATTGTCTTGGAAAATTCATATGAGATTAACCTTTAATTGAAAATTCATAAAACTTCCCAGAATTAATCAAGACACATGATGAAATCACCAGAATTTAAAATTACTAATTTTGGATGAGTATAGGTGTATCAAATTAGTTCCTAAGAATGCATACTCGGTAGAAAACATAAGGGTCTGTTTGGTAGATTATTTGAAAAATGATATTTTGAAAAAGTATTTTAAGTTGAGTTGGATTAAATCGAGTGAGATAGGATTCTGAGAATGTGTTTGGTATAATATCTTAAAATTATATTAGAGTTGAATAAAATGCTGAAAAGTTATTTGGTACATTTTTGGAAAACATTTAGATTAGTTTTAACTCCCTATATTTGTTAATTTAGTTAAACGCCCCCACAATAAAAGTTTAAAAATTAACAAAAAAACCCCCACCCACCCAAGTCACTGCCGACCACCAGCCACCACCATCGGCCGATAGCCGAAAATAGTCAGAACGGTGCACAATCGATTGGATCTGGCCTTTTCGGCTAGATCGACTATGGATCTAGCCAGAAATATCCAGATCGGTGCACGACCAGTCAAATCTAACTCGCGGCAAGTTGTGGTGGTCTTGGGTGGATTAATTTTCATATTGGAATGAGTGAAAGGTAATTGTTTTTAGTTGAATAGGGTTGGAAAAATGATTTTGAATTGAATTGAATTGAATAATAGAAAACAAGTCTCCCCCTCTTTTCATTTTTAATAGAAAAAATCTTATTTGATTCGGATTAATCTTCAGAATAATGATCTCAATACGTTAACAAACACATATTCGGTTTTTTAATCCAAATAGGACAACAGAAAAATAATTCAAAAGAGTGAAAAATAGGGGCTAAAATTCCAGGATCACAGAACAGATTTCAAAAATTCATAAAAATTCCAATACTTAAAAATATCTGGAATTGAGCTTCAATTGCAAACCCATAGCATAGATAGAATTTTCAGGAATTCATATTGTCAGAATTTCACAGAATAACTGTTAATATCAAAAGTCATAATTAAGCAAACTTTGGTCTTTAAGATCAACCTATATATACATATTCTGCCCATATAAAATTATTGCACTCAACCTACCAATTTCTGTTTAATCTCACGTGTGAGAGCCCAAAAACTTAGTTCAATTCTGTGGCAACCTTCAATCATGCCTTGGATCAAAGGCTGATAAGCTAAAAACGATCCTAGCCATGGGGAAATGCCTTGGATACTGTGTTGCGAATAAACATTTTATGATGGTTCTTGAATTTACTTTAGCTGGAAATCATAGCCATCGTTCATCGATCATAAAAACTACTTGATTTATTAAATATCAAATACTGCTCGATTGAGCTGAGACACTAATACAGATTACATAATAAAAATTTCATCTTGGATAACTACTAAATTTATTTTGAAGCAGCCCTTATAGAACATTTTATTTAATTTTAAGCGCTCCATCAACTTGAAAGAAACATATCCTGGATATGTAAAAACAAATCCATTAGATAGGGATTGGTTCAATGAAGAGTTTGGTGATGTAATCTTTCAAACACTCTGGAAATGAGATCCCATCTTTGTTCTTGTAGAAGACATTCATCAAGCGTGCAATATTCACTACTCTACGTAAAATTTGCATGGAGACAACTGTTGGCTTCATGCATTCCTCGTTTATATCCTTCCATGCATTTGAAATCATTGTGTTAAACTCCTTAATTGCTTCTTCTCTCGAGGCTCCATATTGCTTCATATAGCATTCCATAGTAGAGGCAACATGTCCTCTCTCTTGCTCAAACTAATTAATGATAATACAAAACCGTAAATTAATTAAACATTATAAGATAGAAATACATGAGCTTCACATTAGTAGTAGTTCTATCTACCTTGTGAGATACCATGTCACCCCTGAGACGGATAATTGAATATGCAGCTCTAACGATTTTCGGATAGTTTTGTAGCCATTCAAATTCGTCAATCCCTGCAATTTCTCCCATTCCCACAAATAATGCGGCCGTTTCGTAAAAACAACCAGCAGTGACTGTTGCATTTTCCAAACGTTCTTCGAATGATGGGACAATTCCTTCACGGAAACACTGGGCCTCGAGCAGATAGGCCCTGGCAATCTCCTTCAGCTGTTTATTAACAAAATAAACAAATAGATAAACACCAACTAATGCAACTATTGAGTAGAGACAATCTAAACATGTATCTAAGACAAAAGTAATAGAGAAAGAATGTTGATTACTTTATCCTTCGTAAATGAGACACTATAAGATCTTCCTTCTTTGCTCATTTCTTTGTCCAATTCATCGTAAAGATTCAAGATAGCGCTATAAAGAGCTTGCATATATTCTGGCAAATCAACTAGCGCACTAGAATCCCACCTAAAATTATCAAAGATTTTAATTACAAATTAGATATGTGGATGACAATAAGCTCCTATAAAATGTGTAAGATTAGATTTGTTAAGACTAATAATATACTAATAAAAACCTTTCTAGGGCATCTGTGAAACTTTGGAGCTCTTCAGCTGTACCATATGCGTCATATGTATCATCTATAACTGTAAGAATCGTTATAATTTTAGTATTTATCATCCGGGCAATCGAGAAACAAGGCTCAAAATAATCTGCTATCGACAACATGTAGAACTCGACAATTCTGTCTCTTGAGTAAGGATATTTTGATGCCAAGTCACAATCCTTCCACCATCTGCAATAAGATTGCAGAAAAGTTGATTCATCATGTTCAGAACTTCTTCAGAGCAAAAATAACTAAAGTGATAGATATATTATTTACCTTGTAAGATATTTCATCTCTTGTTGGTGTAGCAATTGTACCCTATTGAAATCTAACTTTGCAAACATGAGTAGAGTTTCATTTCTAAATTCATGGTCTTCTTCATAGAAAGAGATGTACTGGCGTGCTTCCAATCTTGGAATACCTTGGTGCAAGGGCAAATCAAGGGCATTCATTATATGTTTTTCTAAATGAGGACTTGATTTTTCGGCCAAGGACTTGAGATGAGAGGTTGTGAAATCAAGGGCCTCCTCAAGAATTTCTTCCCCATGTAGTCTCAAATGTGTCGTTTCATATAAACTCAGCATGCCTCTTACATCGTTGGTTAAACTTTCCTTGAAGATACC